AGAAATAACATTTGATGTCGAAAAACTGATTCACAAAATTACAACTAAAAACCCTTTGTCTTCTTGTAAAGAAGTTTCGATAAAAGTCAACAAATCAACAACAACCATTGAGAGAGTACGGAAACGGCTAGGATACCGTTACTCAAAACAAATTTCAACTCGGGTATTAACTAATCAACAGAAATTCAGAAGAAAGTAATTCGTTAAAACTGAACTTCAACCCAAAAACTTTAAAAAATGGGAACATTCGATAATATCTGACGAAAGTCGTTTCGGAGTTTTTCTGGATAAAAAATGGTGCTGGCGACCAAAGAATCTTTTAGCTCGATTACGATTGTTCAACAAAACAAACAACAGAAACAAACGTTTATTTAAAGAAATTCAACTACTTTTTTTCCAAAACACTGTAACATAACACAACTATTATGGTATGGGGAGCAATAGGAAAAAAAAATTAAGAGTGATTTATTGCTTTGTCCATTTCGAATGAACTCTTCAAGTTACAAAAATGCTTTCAGAAAACAATTTTTTTGAAAAATTGAAAAAAAAGAAAAAGAGCAAGTTAGTCCACTTTCAACAAGACGGAGCACCTCCCCACCGTTCGAAAACAGCAAAAAGTTATTTTAAAGAAAATAGAATAAGACTACTGCCATGGCCTCCTGCTTCTCCGGATCTCTCATTCATTGAGCATTTATGGGGAATCATGGATAAACAATTGAGAAAAGATTATCCAATTATCCACACCGAAAAAAAGTTGTTTAGCGCTCTGAAAAAAACATGGGCCAAAATTCCCCAGACAACTATTGATAATCTGATGAACTCGATTAAAGCACGCTTTGAAATGTGCAGTGGAGAGAGGTGGACCAACTGGACACCTTTTAGATTTCAAACAATTCAAAAGTTCAGAAAATTTGAATTATTATGATAATGTTAATGCAAAACAAAAATAAATGTTGTGAAAAATCTTAGGTAATTTAGATCTTTTTAAAGGTTTATTAAGATAATAATAATAGATAATAAATTGAATTTTATTTTGGAATCGAAAATAATTTTAGAAAACCATTTTTCCCGTTTTTTAAATAGTTAACCTTTCAAAAAAAACAACCTGTTCCGAAAAAATAATTCCAGTTCATATACATTTGAAAACAATTAATTAATGATTAGATAATATCTTTGATTAATTCTAATTATTCAAAATATAAGTATTTTAATTATGTTTAACTTCTAATAACTTATATTAAATATAACATAAATATCATTTAAGATACATCTTGATTTGATCATTCATGATATTTTTTTGTAGTGCCCATTGACTGACACTGCTTTTGAATCCAACTTTTTATCTGTTGTAATAGAGTTGAGATATAGAAAACAGTGTCGGAGTAACTTTCAAAACAATTAAAACGTGTTTTGATTGTTTAATTATCATTTAACCAGTTTATAAATTATTTTATAATAAACAAATCTATTTATTAGAACGTATTAATTAAATTAGTTTTGTGCGTTTGTTTGGGAATATTAATTAATTAAATTAAATTAATTAATTAATTAATTAATATATATCTATATTATTGATATATAAAAAAATCAAAAATTATAGTTTATCAAGCTTATCTGTCTAGTTTTTGACTTTTCGCGATGTTAAGGAATGTGTTATTTTTTTAATGCAGTTTTGGGAACCATTAATTGAAAAAAATGCCGGAGTGTGCACACAAAGGTAAAAACCACATTGATATTACTTTTGTAAAACTTTTTAATCATATTATAAACAACAAATTCAAACGTTCCATCCCGAAAAAAAACAATTTAAAGATTAAATTTTAAAAATTACACATTTATATATATCTTTGCCTGTTTTATTGTTTAAAATCCGCTTTATATTCAAAAGCTATAATTAGTTTTGTTTGTTTTTCTGGTGGTCCAATTAATTCCGCTATTTGTTATAGTATTTTTTAAACTCAAGTCGGTTCATAAACGTTGTACACTTTAAAAATGTCAAACTCGTTATTATGTATTTTTAGGAAATTAAAATAAAAGCAAAAAATAAATCAAAAGAATACATTAGAAACTGGAAAAATACCAAATAAATAAAATAGAAAATATGTAAATAGGTGTACAATGTTTACAAAGAGACTTTATCTCTATTAAGGTTAACGCTTATATATTCTAAATAAATAAACCAGTTGCATTTTTGATTTTTAAACATTTTAAATAAAAAATAACAATTCTTGACTAGAATTGTAAAAAACAACAAATAATTGAACAAACATTTCAATTTAATTTTTTAAAAATATTTCTTCAATAGTCAATTATTATAAATGGTGTCTTTTCCTTTATGTTGTCTTTTAATTCAAAAAACAAACAAATAAAATTATGGCGTTTGAGTAAAATAAGAATGTTCATTTATATTTAAATTTACTAATATTACTGAATGTAATTACAGATAGTAGAAAATTTGGGTGTCAAGAATAAATTGG